TTGTGTTGAGTTAATGACCTTACAGGGTCGTAAATTTATACGCCTACAGTATAAGGGTTTGGCTGTAATTTCTTTAGGCTTAATGAATTCGCAGTAAATAGATGTTTTGAAGTAAATTAGTTTTCTATCTCTATGATAGACACTTGTCTCTTAAATGTAACAATTTAATGCATTAATGTCTTGTTAGAGAGCCATGCTTCGACACCGCCGACTCGTTTAGAGCGATATCACGGATTAGAATCAGATTCCATTGACGCGGAGCTGGGCGAAGTAGAGTGGAGAAGAGCAGTGAAAAGTGATAAGTGTTTCTATTGAATTCCATTGATAAGAACTGCGTTGAGTCGTGGTATCTAGGAGAGGTATTACGTCATGTTTTTGGTAAAAACACGTTTTTACATCGTTCTCTACGTGAAGTTGAAAATTCGGATGAAGTCTGCCATAACACCGTCCTGCTACCCGCCGCTTACTCGGTTCTGATCGGCTCGGGCCGCGTGTTTATATATTTAATTTGAAATGCCGGTCCGTTTCACTTGCATTGTTTACACTTATGCGGAGTGCCGTTTTTCGAGCACTGAGCTTGGCCAATTAACGGTCTGCTCCCCTCCACTCCGCCGAGCTCCGAGTCAGTGGAAATGCAACCTTAACAAAAAACCTTAAGTAATTATCTTATTACTTTTCACCGAATAAGTGAGGTTACCGTAGCTCAAGCCCGAATAAAGTAAATGATTACAAAATAGGTAGATATAACGTCACGTCTTAGTATTTACACAAAAATCGGTTGTCTGTAAAGTCGGTTTACTGTCGATAGTTGAACGTGTCAACGTCATAAGAAAATACTGATGGAATGGTTGCATTTTTCAAAAATGTATTATTGTATACGAGTAGCAGCTGTCCACGCGGACGCATCGCTCACTCAAGTAGGAGAGAGACAGATGTCGAACGCTGCCGAACGCGGAGGCCGATTGTGCCTCTTTGGCATTCGTTCCGCGCTCTCGCTTGCACTTCACGCCTTAAATGGAACGCCTCAGAGCGCGGTAACGCCGCATGAGTCATGTTTTTTCGTGCGTGCAGCCGGCTCCATCGAATTATAAGACGTTGTCACGTCAAAATTTGACGCGGTTATTGTTTTTACATTTAATAAATCGGCGTGAAGGGTCTATGGAACGGTCGGAACGAAATTCCTTTCGCTTTTTGGTAGACGTTTGTTATAGTGTCGGAAAAAAGTCTTGTTACACCTTTTTCGGTCTTGCTCCCATCCGCACAAAGTAACGTGCGATGACTTTGTTTCAAAAAAATATACTGATTTGACTTTGTAGCTGCAGTAAAACCTAAATAGTATTAATAAACATCACACCAATAAACGTAACAAGTATTCAAAATGTTTCTATAGCACAGTTTATGTTGAGAATTTAGTGCAAAACCAGCACTGAATACAAGATACCGCACAATATGTGTACCACGCAATGTACACTTGGACAATGGCGGACGGTCGAGCTAGCTAAGTATTGCCTCGTGGTACAATGACCAAGCCAGCTTTTAGTCAAAGTGGTGAGGAGAATTTCAATTAGCACATGTTCTGGAATATAAATTGGAGCAATAACTACGCTTTATTGGTATTATGGTCCGTGTGGTGATGGATTAAGAATACCGTATGTCGCCACCCCTATTCATCCCGTGGGTGTCGTAAGAGGCGACTAAGGGAAAAAACTACACAGAAGACCAGCACTGCAGAGAGAAGGAAAACTTGACACAAACCCTGTACCAACCCGTCTGGCCAGCGTGGTATAGTAGGCCAAAAACTCCTTTCTAAGGAGAGGCTTATGTCCAGCAGTGGACTAGTAAAGGATGTGATGTGAATTGGTATAGAAAACGAATTCGTACGTTTAAAAAATCAACGTTGAGTTGAGGCTCTTATTGAGCGTTTTTTTTAAACTTTCTAATGACAGAAAGAATTATTTCATAGTACTCTATTTTATGGGATTAGGGGGGTGGGGGCGGGGGGAAAATATTACCAACTTCAATGAACCTACATCATGATGAATTGTAATAACTTAAATTCTTCTTTCTTTAATACTTTTTAAACAAATTATCGTCTACAGTATTCCCTAAGCGATACGACCTTAAAATTGTCAAGAAAAGAGCGTACTCCTTCGTCAAAGGCCGGCAATGTGCTTGTGACTCCTGAGTTGCAAGCGTTTATGGGCGGCGGTTGTCACTTTCCAGCAGGTGAACCGTCTGCTCGATTGCCCCCTCTTCTATAAATGAAACCACTCATAGGTGCAGTCGTTTTTCTTTAGTCTTTTTCAGGTATTCGTTATACACACTACTAAGTCTAAGAATATTCTAAAATAAATACAAAAATTATACAAGTGGACCTTGCGGCTCTTTTTTTTTGAAGTCGGTTAAAAAAGCCAATCTCATGGGTCCACACCTAATCACATCTTCCCCACTGATGCTCAACACATTTCGTAATGAACCAAAATGGCGGTCTGCACGGTAACAGTATAAAATATGTATATTATGTTTTACGCTCCAATAATCCTTCCGTATTGTTTCAAATTATAATTGCTTATTTAAATATATTATCTATTCCATTCGTGTGGTGACAGATTAAGAATACGGAGTGTCACCACTCCTATTCTTGCCAAGGGTGTCGTAAGACCCGACTAAGGGAGCAAACTACGCAGAACATCAACACTACAAGGAGAAGGAAAACTTGAAACAAAGCAGTCTGGCCAGCGCGGTCTAATAAGCCAAAATTTCCTTTTTTTTTTTAAGGAGAGGCCTATGTCCAGCAGTGGACAATTAAAGGTAGGAGGATAATGATGACGATTAGGTGCGTGTTCAGATACTACTTTATTCCTCCAATTGTGTTTATCATCATGGCGTGCCATCCTCAAAATGAAGTTTGGAGGTCAGCAGACGGTACACCTCTCGATCATGAGCGGCCTCCTTTAGTTGGCGATTTCGCAGTCCGGTCCAAGCCACGATGTCATCTATCCACTTCCTTCGTGGTCGACCTGGTGTCCTCCTGCCTGGTTTTTTTCCTTCTAACAGAAGCCTCAAGAATTCATGTTGCGGGCCCCTTTGTATGTGTCCAAAGAAGGCCACCTTCCTTTTCGCTATAACAGCCATCAGTTCTCTCCTGCACTTGGCTCGCTCCAGTACCTCTACGTTGGATGTAAAACTAGTCCACGGTATTTTAAACATCTTCCGCAATAACCACATCTCGAAGGCTTGCAGTCGGTTACAGATGTCTTTCCTTAAGACCCACGTCTCAGACCCATATAACAACAATTGTGTTAGTATTTATATTTTAATATTAATCATGTATGAGCCAACATTTATACACACATTCAACCAGAGATTTAGGTGACTAGTAAAACTATTGCGGCAATTATAATAACATACGATAATAATTAAGAAAATGATTTGGGGTTAATGTTAATGAGGTGACAAAACAATGTGCGTGATGCGCAGGTAATGTGCTAACATATTTAAGAAACAACTTAAAAAGGAATAGAATTGTGGTTTGTGTGCTAAGTACACGGCTTTCCGTATACGGTACAGAGCGCGGAATGAAATGATCAATTTAATTCTTTCCTTCAGAGGTTATGTTTTGTCCCCCTACGGCTCTACAAACACATGCACCTTTATCACACATTAGACTTTGGCAGAATTGTCGCCATCTGCCATAAACAAAAAAAATCTTATTGTTGCGTAACAACTATTAATAAATGATTGATCCTTAAACCTACCCCATGATTACAAGTCCCAGGCACTGTCGCAGTTTCCTGTGTTGCCCCTATCTGTCACGCGATGGACCCTGCAACCGCTCGGTGAATCCATGGAAGACTAAGAAATAGATTTAATTTCAAAGAAGTTACATAAACAACATACTCATGGTCTAATTTCCATCGTTGCCAAGGACCTGTCAGACTCTTACCGACCAAAAACCAATCCGTTGTTCTGATGTTGTCTATGACCAGGGCAGCGAGTTTCCCTATTGCATTTTTTTTCACTCACCATGAGACGTTGCCTCATCTCACCCAAGACAAGTCGCGACGGGAAGGGTTGTGAAGGGATGAAAGGACATATTTTATACGAATACAGTGTGAACAGCAGAACTCTAGCAGGTCAGGGTATATTGATTTGGCTGTTGCAATGTTTGTATGTATGTGTGTCTTTGGCACGAATCTTGGGACCTAAATTAGAACCACTTCCCGATGTCTGAATGGGCTCAAATTTGTTGTACATACGTATATTCAACGAAAATACAATAATATGGGTACAAAAGAGCTGATCTGATGATGGAGCCGGAAGACGGCCATACAAACTTCTAAACTAACCAAGTCAAACCCATCAAGTTTGCTTTGCTGATACATGACAGCTGGAGTACACAAAAGCTGGTTTAAAAAAAAGTTTTAATGATTTATTCACTTTGGATTTATCTACTGCTAGAATCCCTCTAATTTGCGAATAGTACTTACTAAAATAAAAATTATTGTTTTCAATAAAATATACTTTTTATCTTTGTCACTAAAAGCCATTTCGTAAAACAACCCTTAGATAAAACAGATAGAGAGACAGAGAAACCACAAAGAAAAAATAACGGGTACACTTTCTTTAGGATTCTTTTGAAAACATTATTATATAAAGTTATAAATCTACTACTAAAATCTACTAAATCTACTAATGTATACAATTTGTACACAATTTAATAACACCCACTTAACAATAATCAAGTCAAGCAACAAATATTGACAATACGCAGTCCCAACACTTTTGTCTAGCTCTGGTGTCGCCGTAAGAAGGGCTCCGATCGCGTTCGCACGACCCACCCCTCCAATCCTTTCCTCACACCAAGCAGCAAGTGACGTCATTAAGCCACGCCATTTTTTAACTATATTTTTAACCATATTATATTTTCTTCAAAAATCACTATTTGAGATACAGGCGATCTTGAAGGTTTCTGTGGCATACCGTGATGTACAGCAGTTTTATCCTGAACACTGACCAAGATTATTCTTTTCACAAATAAATGGCAATTTGTCATAGCATGAGTATTGCTCCAACAACCCATCATGTCTCAGAACCGCACAGCTGCCTCTGCTTTTCTTCGGATCGAAATTATTGTATAAACTCTTTATCGGCTCACCTGAAATAAAAATCTGAACTAAATTGAGCTCTGATAGAGATCTTCGGGGCTCAAAAACATCACTCATTTAATTTACTCAGTTCGTTGAAATCACATCTCTTTTATCTCTTTAATGGTATAATTTGTCTAAAAGTTAATCAAAAGATTTTTGTAATATTAAAAGATTTAAAACGGACATTTTAAAAAAGCCGTTTGGTGACGGATTATGAATACGGAAAGTCACCACCCCTATTCATCCCGTGGGTGTCGTAAGAGCCGACCAAGGGAGCAAACTACGCAGGACAACAGCACTGCAAAGAGAAGGAAAACTTGAAACAAACCCTATACCAACCCGTCTGGACAGCGTGGTATAGTAGGCCAAAACCTCCTTTCTAAGGAGAGGCCTATGTCCAGCAGTGGACTAGTAAAGGTGGTTGTTGATGATGATGAGCCATATTCCGGCAAAGGCTTACAGAAAACAGGTGTAAAACAATTTATTGGTTTCACCGAGTGAATAAGGTTACGGCTCAACCTCCCTCCCTTATTCTGGAGCTGACAATGCACTTGTGTCTATTGAGTTGGAGATGCCCATGAGTGGCGGTTGTCACCAGTCATCAACGCACTTGTACGTTCATTAGCCCCCATCTATACTAATATTATAAAGCTGAAGAGTTTGTTTGTTTATTTGTTTGTTTGTTTGTTTGAACGCGCTAATCTCATAAACTACTGGTCCTATTTAAAAAAATCTTTCAGTGTTAGATAGCCCATTTGTCGAGGAAGGCTATAGGCTATATATCATCACGCTAAGACCAATAGGAGCGGAGCACCAATGAAGAATGTTTCAAAAACGGAGAAAATTTATTACTATTGAGAGACGCAGACGAAGTTGCACGGGTCAGCTAGTACCACATAAAAATTGATCCATTTCATTCACTGTTAGCTTACCACGAACACTACTCCAAATGTTGTTTCCAGTCAAATCCCGGATGCCTATATATACGAAAGCCCAACTATATGCACCCAGTGGGTATGCAATGAACTTCATTATTCTCGCCTCCGTATAGGTGTTAGGGATAGCCAAATAACCACCGTCTGCAACGCAAGTAGATTTAGCTTCCTCCCAATTTGCTGCATGGCTGTCATCGTAGAACTTGTAATAACTCTCTGTTGTAGGCTTGAAGTAATAACCTGTAAATAAGTTAAATAATCTAAACAAATATTGAAGTGTCTGTTTGTAATGTCAAAACAATAGGTTTTTTTCATGCTTACACGGTTATTTGAACGATACCTATGCCTAAAAAACCAGTTTTCTTTTTATCTTGTACCGAGTAATCTTCTAAACGGATGGACCGATTTTGATAATATTTTACCACCAGGTAGCTGTCTACATAAGGAGTAATATGTATACTAGTCTGTAATATCCTGTATAATTTGTTCCTGTATAATCAAACTGCTGATAAATATCTAACTTGTATATGACGTAAGACTTTTACCAGCAGTTTGATTACAATATTACAGACTTTGCCTTGTTCAGGATTAGACGACCATGTATGAAGGTTCTTAAGTTATTATTAAATATTATCTGGTACCCGCGAATTCGAAAAGCGCTACCTTAGTGGATTCGATTTCTGGACCGGGCAAAATTTTATAAGGTTTTTCTGAGAGAAAAAATAGCCATAAATTGTCAGACTGTTATGAAAGAAATCATGATTGAAGATTTGAGTAGGTTACCTGTGTTGCAATCCTCAGGGGCTCCTGTTGTTGTTGGTATTTCTGTGGTAGTTACATCATCTTCCGTGACATTACATTTATAGCATATGTAAGGCAATCGAGTCCAGCATTGAACTACTCGTATACTGTAACCGTCCATGCATAAACAGCCACCGTTTCTTAAATCCAACTGCTCAACCTGGTCTAGTGCCTCAGGCATATCTTCTAGTAGAACACCTAATTGTTAACAGAAGTATTTGACATCTATATTTTAAAATAAAAAGTTTTATAAACAAAAAACCGTTCTTAATGCAAGATACCGAATCTTGCATTAAAAACGGTTGAAGTAACAAACATATTAAAAAATACAACTGTTGTGTTCTTAAGAATCTCCACCACCATACAATTTTTTTAATCAATTAAAAATACGATCTGACAACAAATCAAAGGCCATTTAAGTTGTTTCCTTTACTTATGCTGTGTAGTTCTAGGATAAATCAGTAAACTCGGGGATAAATTTAAGTGACTATATTGATAGATAAAAATGATATTAATGACACATCAATTGATAGTCAAATATGAACGCGAACTGAACTGAAGAATGATTTAATAATTGAATAAAGTGCTGACACAGTTCGACAGCATGATACGAGAAATGTGTAACGTGGCTCGTACATGCTGTAAGGCTTTTCTATGAAGTTCGACAATCTAGGTCAATTAGGGTTTTTGATATTTTTTTCTGCCACCAGACGGCGCTTCGTATGCGTCAGGTCCAAACAGCTGTCAGATAGCACAGATTCTTACCGAACGAATAATTTTTTAGTGAAATTCTATGAATTTGGAAGTGTTATTGAGTTTATTATAGATTACGGTAAGAGAAAGGTTGCCGAACTGAAGATTGAGGCGCAAAAGTTTTATTTGCACCAATAGGCACTGCACAACACTGTGGCGTTTTAGAAAACAATATTCCTTTTGTAACGTTTTTAAGAATGAATAAACCAAAAAAATGATCGAAAAATACAAATCGTGCAGGTGTTTTGTCAGGTGGTTGGACTTGACGCTACAGTGCTGCCATCTCACGTGGAACATTTCAGAAAACCCTCATTGGAAATATCAAATCACCTCGTGATTGTTTTGATTTAAAACTTATTGTACACAGCTTAAATACTTAATAGTAATAGCTTAGATACAAGAATTCTATGTTTGTTTCAACTAAATATATCCACACGTATGCCTGAGAAAAAGGGTCTAAGTGAACAGACCAACGAAGAAGTTATAGTCTCCTATAAGGATCGCTTTTAGATAATGGAACTCTAAAACAAAGCAAAGTAGGGAAAAGTATTCTATTCATTTAAATTTTACCTTCTTGAGTCACAAATGATGCTTTCCCGTCTAGTTTCGATTTGAGTCCTATGAAGTGTGGAATGGTGTGATTGTTCTTAGTGATGACTGACTTCATGTACTTGAGCAGCTGTGCGTCTACAGGGGACGCTAGAATTGCACCTGGAACGACAAGCGTGTCATGCATCTAAGAATTATTATTTGTATCATAACGTTAATATTATTACGAGCGGGGTATGTAGTAAATAAAAGTTGTCGGTTAATTACTTTATTGCACTGTATTTACATCTCACACTATAATAAACTAGAAATCACTATATATCTCGTTAGTCGCAATAGAAATTCACTCCGATGTTAACTCGCTTTGTCGTAAAACGATACTGTCTCGAACAGCCAACACGCTCCGCTTTTAATTTACTAGAAAGATCCCTAGTATTCGATAGTCTGTTCCAGACAAACAAGAATATTCCAGAATCAGTCACGCGTTATTTGCAGCGTCATCTAGCGATGTAATCAGAACTATTGACCAAAATCTTAATAGATGTACTTTACTCGATACTAGATGGCGCTGTCTTCCACATTTCATACAATTCTGGAACAATCGAACCATTTAATCCTATGGCGCAAACAATTGTCACAACGGCGATTTTATCTCAAACCAGGTAGAGACTAAACTGCTGTAATCGGGCTGCTTATAAACATACTATGTTTCTAATTACATACAGTTTAATGTGATTAAAACTATTATTACAATCGTCAAAATGAGGACGTTTGATATTTTTTTTATGGAATAGGCAGATGAGCAGACGTGTCACCTGATGGAAAGTGACTTTCGCCGCCCATGAACGTCTGCAACAACATATACCCTTGTTTCCCATTCGAGGATATTGGCGTAATAGTATGTATGTATTTGCAAACACAGAGTAAATGATTGTGTTCATCTCTTTGACTTGGCGGGAGTCAAGTCAAAGACTTACAGTTAGGATCACCAATTCGTTAGGAGTTAGGAGCACTCAAAAGGTAGTGTGTACCATTAGCTGGCCGTTCACCTTTTTCGATAAGGAAACCAAATAATAAACGAACAGGCCAGGATAGTTAAAGATTAGAAAACGCTATATTTACCTTCATTTTCGCAGATTTTTTTGGCTTCGTCCCACGTTGCTACTTCTTTGTGTTGTTTCACGTAACCATGGATCTCGGGATGTAATTCATATGTGCTGTGCACTACCCCTGTAAAAATTACACTATCTGTCAAACATAGAACCGATATGGGTCAAATGGTCAAAATTACCATTGACTGTTCGGTCAAAAGAAAGTTCTTGAAAATGCAAGATATTCAGATAAGAGAAAATAATTTAAGTTGGTGTACCATAAGCGAATAGAGCAAGGTAGCGTTGATAAGGAATTCCGAAATTTTGTAACGTGGTAGAGCCATGCCCATTTGGGCTGGCTTAACTGGATTGAAACCAAGCCACAGCCGGCCACACCAACCGGATCAACGTCATTAGGTGACTCGTCTGGTCGTTTATCCCGATACTGCAAAGATAAGGAAAACTTGACTCAAACCCCATACCAAACCTGGTCAGCGTGGTATAGCAGGCCAAAAACTCCTTACTAAGGAGAGGCCTATGGCCAGCAGTGGACTATTACAGGCTGTAATGTGTGATGTTATATTAGATGGCATAATTGAAAGTATACTTACCGATTAAAGTCAGGAAGACGACACAAATGTATAAAGAAATGAGTTTTAGAGACGACATGGTGTTGAGTGTGCTAACACGATCTGTTCTGATATAGAACTGCTATCGATCACATCAATGTAACGTACATATATTAACAGAACTGTTGATAAGAGACACTGTATCTACAATAGTGTGTTGATTGTTGTGGCTTAGGACGTGTTCACAGTAACTATAAACTGTCCCGATATTATATATGATATGAAATGATTTCTTGTTTTTTTACCAGCTGTACCCCGCCGCGATGCGCTGTGGCACATTAATTTTGCATTGATGAGAAATGCCAAACAAAACTGACACTCTAATCTAACAGATGATCTCAGGCTCAGCTGTGAAGATCGCTGACCACTAATCGACTTCAACTATAAGAAGGTGCTTCGTCTCAAAATCCAACCATTTGTGAATCAATTTTATTAAAAAATAAATACCCGTCGCGGGACCTCTGGTAGATGTGGAACAACCAAATTATGTTGTAGAAATAATGAGCGTAAATCACTTAGAACACCGTCGCCACAGCGCATTACATGTTGCATATACTATCACATATCGTGGCGACGTGTGGCCATATTATCAGCTGGTCTGACACTACAGAAATTGGTCACACTGAAGGTACCTATGAATATGAAGAAAATAGTTGACTTCCAGAGCTGGAATATTAAAGAAACACAGTTTAATACAATTTGTCATCATTTACGCGCATATAATCGGAGAAACGTTTTTTTGTATTTTTTATTTGTAAACATAGTATAATTAAGATAAAATATTTACTACTCTGAAGTCTGGAATAAACACAACAAATACACAAAACATCCACTTGCCCGTTCCGGTTTACATTTGTCATTAACATAGAAAATACATGTAGAATATTAACAAAATAACTATGTTAGTAATACTGTACCGAAATTGTGATAAAGCTTTATGTTAACCAAACATCGTAGTACACGGTTTCCTTGTTACTTATCAGTCAACAACCAAATATTTGACCTAATACAAACAAAAAATTAAAATTTTAACACTTAACTGCCGCACACTACTTACTAGTCGAAATAAAAAAAAAGAGCTGTCTCTGCTGTTTGGAAAAGTAATAATTTACTTACCATCGTTATTACTATGCACAATAAAATTTATAGAATAAAATTGAGGCTCATGTGTGGCACACCGCGTGGTTTTAGTCAGTTCGATTCCGATACACCGGCCCTTTTTTTTTTTTTTTTTTAACGTGTGAAAATCCCCTCCGACCGTCACCCCGCCGGGGCTCTCGTTCGGCGGGGCGGTGTGTCGGACTCTTTGCGCTTCCAGTTTAGGAGGGGTCCAGGTAGTTATCGCCTTCTGGACCCCTCCCAGCGCCGGCCCGCTCCTGATGCGGGCTCCGTCTCAGTGGACCCTCTCTTTAGGCGACGTCCGGCACACGCGGACGCCGCTCCCTCGCGGCTGGCCAAACTAATGCGGGTGGAGGGGAGAACACATCCCGTCCACTCGCGCCGATACACCGGCCCACGCCAACCCCTGTGTGGTATGTGGCCCATTTGTGTGGTATTCCATGGTATTCTTATACAAAATATTTAAAACATACGATTTGTGGAAATTATACTTCGGTTTTATGTCTTAAACACAACTAATACAGCATTTTTATCTCTCTCTATAAAATTTTATCGAAAACGTCACTTAAATGTGTAATAAAATTTATGTAAGCTTTCAAGACATTTTACGTTCGCCGTCCCTCGGGAAGCTTCTGACCTTTATATAAAACCGTTTACAGAAGTCGGCAACTGTAAATATTGTCTAAATGGCTCATAATATTGTGATCACTGAAAATCGATGCAAATTAAATTTATTTTAATTCGCTGAACGGAGCAGTATTAAGATAGAAAGGATGTAAAAGAACAGCCAAGAACTTGATGTTATTTTCTGACCAGACGAAAGTTTTATGACTTATACGTGGGACATACTGAAAGTCTCTGGATCTGGCCAGTTACAATAAAATAATAAAAAAACAATTATGGAATTCAGAAATGGAACTCTTTGGGAACATGTTATTTTTTTATTTGCGAGACTGTCGATTGTCTTTACATGGTTTCCTTTCTAAAATTGTATCGCTATGAAAATGAATTTAACTCGTGAACACTTTCGTTTAATAATTTTTTATGATTTTCGTGTGTGTTAAGTTAACAAGAGAGTTATCAGAGACTTCAATTGGCATTTGGTTATGAAGCACCATTTCGCAGCTCTGTGTATTCGTGGTTTGAATAATTTAGAGGTGGACGTGATCATCTCCATGAATGTCTCTGAGGTCCGTGAGTTTAATATTGACACCGTACCACAATTTATTGAAAGTGACAAAAAAAAATACTTGCTAGCAAATTCGTGCTTTGTTAGGCATTGGAATGAGCCAAGTATAAAACATTATACATGTGCATCTGAAGCACGGTACAATTATAATATATATATATATATATATATATATATATAGGTACAATTATATATTATAATTGTACCGTGTCTGAAGGTTCGGAAGCTTTGCCTCGATAGATACCGCATGACTTAACTTTTACAGTAATTTAAGACTGGCTCAACTGCTTTGTTCAGTGGTTTCAGCGAATGCGAAAATTAATTAATTGCGCGGAAATATACTTTGAAAAACAATACATGTATCGTAAGTCTTTTATCTAGCCTTATCAGAATCCAGAAACTTTCAGTTTGCCCAAAAATTGTTGCGCCATAGGAATAAATTCTTCGATTGTATGAAATGTGGAGGACAGAGCCATTTAGTATCGACTAAAGTACATCTATTAAGATTTTGTTTAATACAAGTAGTTCTGATCCTTTCAGCGCTAGATGGCGCTGCAAGTAACGCGTGAGTGGTTCTGGAATGTTCGTGTTTGTTTCGAACGGACTGTTGAACACTAAGAACTTTCTAGTACAATTCAAAAGCGCAATTAAAGATGAAGCGTGTTGGCCGTTCGACACAGTTTCGTTTTACGACACGGCGAATTAACATCGGAGTGAATTTCTAATGCGACTAACAAGATATATAGTGATTCTTAGTAGTGAGTGTTTGTAAATAGTGAAATAAAGTAATTAACCGACAACTTTTATTATTTATAATATATACCCAGCTCGTAACAGTATTAACAGGCTTTATTAGCTTCACTAACAACTAGGTAGCTAACTAAAAAAAATATAGGATTATTACAACCACGTTATTGATTTTTGACTGCAAAGGCGTAGTGGTTTACTGGCTACTTCGCCGCTTCCTACTGCGCTGAGTATTGTGGGTCCGAACCCCACATGGGCAACACTTTGTGTGATCCACAAGTCATTGTTCTGAGTCTGGAGGTTCTTTGTGTCTGTTTCATGTATGTCCGTAAAGTCCCCCGCGACTCAGGGTATATTTCTAGTGCGGGAGTTGTCTTTAAAAAAAAGAGAAAAATAGTTGAGAAATCGTGTTCTGAGCTATAAATGTAATGCCGTGTGAGAGTCATGTTTCAAAGTCATGCTATACCATAAAAAACGTATGGGTCTCAGGACGTCCGACAGAAGTGATAGCTTAAACTAATCTAAGTTGAACTATTTAATATTGAAATTGTTTAACTTGAGAAAAGCTTAGGTTATTACTTAATTCATGTAAATCGTCTGTCCGAAATACTAGAGTGAGAAATACTAGTTAGAGTGAGAGAGTAGAAGCCTGCCTGAGCCAGACAGACTGGCGCCGTAACGCGTTACGTAACGAAGCGGTTATGGGAGGGTTCCCATAAGAAGTTATCACTTTCAAAAAGTATAAATCTGTTAAATCGTTCTTAGATCATCGGTTATAATAATTGTCAGTACTTACTTTTTTCTTAACTTCCTCGATATACCCATTTTACTCATTCCAATTTTTATCTTTCCTTTGTCCTGATGATGATTGAATGATTACACACTCAAGTAGGAGTAGTGTCGGGCCTGTAACCGGCTAGATAGAGAAAGCCAAATAAAATTAGATACATAACAGATAAGTGATAATGATGATTAAAGAAACATGTAAAAGAATGTAACAACGGGTACTCACAACCTTATCTTACAGAGTACGGAGAAATGTAATCCTCAATAATAATAAAAATAAAACCTAGAAATATCTATTTCAATGAGCTAAATTAAACATTTTAAGTACACTGTTTGTTATCTCAAACCAAAGCTCAGATTATTTATTGAAATTTGATAGGCGAAATGATCGGAGTCCTTTGAGAAATTTAACTCTAGAATTAAATAAACACGATTCCATTAAAACGATCTTGCTGTTCAATTTAAATGTTGTAAGCAAATAGTTAAATAAAGCATTAAAAATCTTTCAGATTCGTACTTTCGAGGGCAATAAGCGACGGTAGTAACTTACCATCAGGTAGCCCGCCGCTCGTTTGGTAATTATCCCATTTAAAAGAAAAACCAGCCAAGTGTTCTGAGGCTGTAATCTAGCGTTCCGTAGTTCGTCGGACCATGTAACCGGTTACATGGTCCGACGACTCTGACGTGACGGAGGAAGAGCTAGACTGAGTTGTGAGGTGACTTGGGTCCTGATGGGATTCCGGGCCGAGCATGGGTGTGTGCTCTGGTAGTGCTAAGGAATAGGCTGAGGAGGCTGTTTACTAGTTGTAATAGGAAGCGGGTACTTATCCAGAAAACTGCGACTAGCCTGTTGGTCTAGTGGTTAGTGACCCTGACTGCTAAACCGGAGGTCGTGGGTTCGATTCCCACCCAGGACAAATATTGTGTGATGAGCACGGTCATTTGTTCTGTGTCTGGGTGTAATTTATCTATAATATGTATGTATTTAGAAATATAAAAGTTCCAACCGATATGCCTGCTGATATAAAACTCTTTGAAAGAGTTATTGCCGCCCGTATCATCCAGCACTTGTCGCACCTGCTTAAATTCTTCAGCGTTTAATATAATATAAGATCTATGATAGACTATAATATAAGATACCTCCTTCTCCTATTATGCGGTTAAAACACTTAATATACGATTAATATTTAATAGAATCA